GGGGGGGGGGGGGGGGGTCTGTAATACCGGAAAAGTTCGTTACGTTTGTTATGATCGATCCCAAAGGGTTAAAATACTATCAGCTGGGTGGCAACAGAAATAACCGGGAAAAGTCAAATGACAAGTGTGGATCTAGGAAAAACCAGAAGAAGTTGCGGATGAATTGCATTTTCGGAAGTAGCGAGTTTCCACAAGTCGCATCAAAATACCTATACAGCGTCATGTAGGATTTGAGAGTGTTTTTCATCATCCTGAATCGCCTTAAAAGTCACAGTACTAGCTCCAGATCGCCGAGGTAAACCTGAAAAAATTAGGGAAATCTAATTCTAAGTCTCTGTGGTCACCATTGATTAAGGCATTTGAATCTTTTCACAAATTTATTTTTCGTATCAATTTTTAGTATATCTGAGATAATTCAGACCAGGATTTTCGTAGTCTGGCACATTCCAAAGCTCAAGCGAGCTAATGGAAAATCGACGCGACGACGCGACGACGCGACGCCTCGTTGAATCCCCTTCAATTTGTCCCCGACGCAACCAGCCAATCTCCCGTTTTCGTTAGTGTGCGTACCTGTATACGGGAGAGTATTGCCATCTCTGTGCCGCTCTCTGATTGGTTCTTCAGTTTTAAGCCATCATGGAGCTCCGAAGTTGGACCAATGTAAACAATCCGACCCAGAGGAACACGTATCATCGTCTGAGAAATAAATGATAATCACACTCAAAGCTTAATTTTCGACAAAAATGTTCATCAGAGATCGATCAGAACTCAATTCAGGAGTTCGATATAAGAAAATTTCTTTCACATTCAAAATCACGTCGAGAACTTTGTAGAACTTTTTCGCCATCTTGTTTGTTTACATTGGGCCAAACTAGGAGCGGCGGGGCTGGGGTTTGTTTACATTGGTCCAACTTTGGGGCTCCATGATAGCCGACCAATCAGAGAGCGGCACCCTTTTTCTGTAGTGAAAGGATTGAGATGGCAGTACCCTCCCGTATACAGGTACTCTAGTTTTTGTGTTGTTGCATACCATGTTCTTCAAAGGGCGATATCTTGGTAAATATTGGACGTGGAAAAAAGGCGTTTGGACTAATATTATTAGCTTATCTATAATCTACAGGGTGTCCCAGGATTAAGTACGAATATTTTAGGAGTCGATTCTTTGGGTGAAAAAAGACGTTTTCGTGGTGCAACTTTTTTTCCAAAAACGCTAGAAGTTGGAGAAAAAAATCGTCTTTCTAACACTGTGAGAATGATTATCAATCAATATTAATGAAAATTGGTAAATGGCGGTAATTTTTAGAGCTTGTTTTCATTTTTGACCTCCAAAAAAGGGAAAACGCATTTTAAGGGGGGATCAAGGGGGGTATCGAACCTAAAAGTAGCCAAAATTAATGTTTCTGGCGACAAAAGTCGTATTTTGACGACATTGATAGAT